AAGTAAAAACAAAAAAAAAAAAAAAAAAAAAAAAAAAAAAAAAGGACAGCAGGTGATGCAGCTCTGTGTAAAGGCCTTGGGTTCATCCCCGAACCATAAAAGAAGGCAGATTTGAACTGGCAAAAGAATGAATCCGTAAACTTGAAGGTAGGACAGTGAGTCTGAAGCACAGAAATTTTAAAAAGATCAAGTGAACAGGACCTAGGAGACCTGTGGGATACCATAAGGTGGACCAACACATTTATTGTGGGATTTTTAGAAGGAAAAGAGATAGGGATAGAAAGAATACTTGAAGAAATAATAGCTGAAAACCCACCTAAATTTGATAATAGGCATGAATATAAACATCCAAGCTCAGCAAACTTTAGATTAACTCAGTCTTACATCAAGAAACACCATAATTAATCTTTTGAAAGACAATAAGGATCTTAAAAGCAGCAAGAGAAAATCAGTTTGTCACATAACAAACAATCTTATCCTTGATGAGAGTTTCAGCAGATTTTTTTTGTCAAAACTTTAGAGGACAGAAGGTAGGAGGGCCAGTATATTCAAAAACTAAAGAAAAAACCTGTCAGCCAAGAATTCTGTTATATCTGGCTAAACTATCCTTCAAAAGTGTGGGATAAATCAAAATAGTCACAGATAAACTAAAGCTGAAGACTTTTACTAGACTTGCCCTATTCTTCAGGAAATTTATCACTTTCTCTTCCCTTAGTGTCCTATGAAATGACAGAACTACAGAACGGCTCAGTTTAGACACTGGCTCTAGATTATCTCTGATTTTTACTTTCTTCTTGGTATATTTGCAATTTCCATACTTACCAGTTATGATTAGAAAAAATATAACCTCATAATCATACTCTCTTACCTTGATATGGCTCTTTACATTTTTCAGTTAGCTTGTCTGTTACCTCTGTCTGATCCTTTTAAGAATCCTGTGAACAAGCTGGAAAAATAGCTTTAATGGCATTTTTACAAAAGAGGAAACTACAACCCAGAGAGTCTAGGAGCTTGTACAAGGTCACACTTTCTGACTGCTATCCAGTGCTCCTGACATTGTATCTCCCTGTTTATCCTAGCATGTTAGGATCTCCAGGGATAAATGGTGCCTTCACCACCAATGTGGCAGGACTGCAGGACATTCTGCAGGACCTGGTCCCCACCCTCATGGCAAGCACATGCCTAAATCAGCCCAGACTGATAGGTTTTAATCTCTGACCATGACTGTCCAGTAAAGGATGGATTATAAATTCACCTGTGGGCATCCCACAGTCAAGATCCTTTATGTCTCAGTGGAGACCTCCTCAGTTCATTTTTAGTGCACCAAGACACAGAACAGGGATAAGGAATCACTATTCTAGACAGCAGGCAATGCCTCAGTGATAACTCTCTTTATGGATATAGTGAGCATCGCATAGATGGGAGACCTGAGCTGGAAGTCTGAGGCCTGGATCCCTTTCTCACTTTTCTTTTACCTTGACTTGGTACCTTCAGAATATTTGCTTTCCTTGAGTGTCTTCCAATTGAATTACTAATGCTTGGTCCCACAAATGTTTCTAAGACAGCATTAAGTCCCCACATATGGTAAGCTTCATCTGCCATTTTATCTGTTTGCCCACCCACAACTCCTTGGGTAAAATTAGCTCCTTGCATGGGATGAAAACATCTCCCCACCTTGATGTCCTTGTATAAGTGAGGCAAACCTTAGGCAGGTCTTTTGTGTGCAGTGCATTTCTCACACCGCCCGGCAATGTTCTGCCATGTTTCCACAGTTAGCCCTAAAGACACTCCGGTGAGAAGATGGTAAAGTCACAGTCCTGGAGCTCCATACGGCAGGATGACGCCTGCTAAAGAACGTGTCTGACTCTTCTGTACTCAAACTATATTCGGATGACATACAGGCTCTGACAGAGCACTAATTTACTGTAAATATGTGGTTTGCACGAGCTTTACAGCAGCATTTTAGTCGCCTTTTGAGTAATATTTTTTAAAACACCATGTCTCCATTTTTTAAAATGCACATTGGCATTTGTCTGTACAAACAGAGCCCTGGTACACCCCATAGTGTCTATTCTGACTGTAAATATGCTTGTAGGCTGGCCCTTCCTATATTCTGAACCATTTTTAAGAGTGTCCTTAGTTTGCAGGTAATCCGAAAGTCATAAGTACCCACCATGGCTTCTTATTGGCATGACTTTATATTCTCATTGCACCAACTGCAAAATCAAACCAAATAATGCCTTATAACGATGCAGCTCAGAGGAAGTAATATGTCCCCACACCCCAGCAGTGCCACGCAGCCTCCAGTGAGCGAGGTGCCACATCTCGCTTCTGTTTTGCAGTACAGGGATGTCTTTTTGCTGCCTATTATAAATATATCGCAATGTCAAGGCAGGAGTGGGCTTGGCCCCTCCTGAGCCTTCTGCAGGGCCCCTTTTGTAACTGAATTACTTTACAAGTAGCCAATGCTCTTACTGTTTACAGTATCCCTGGTGTACATGTTTCTCACTTTTGTCCCATCCCTCCAAGTTTTTAGTCCCATCCCAGTAGGAAGGATAAGGTCAGCTATGAGATCTTGATGTTTTATTTTCCTGCAGGTTAAATAATATACACAATTCATGATTATAATAAACTATAAATTGTGTCTCAGGGGTCTGTTCATCCCCATCCCCACCCTGAGTGCAGGATTTCCATGGAAAATATGCTATGAAAAAGTGTAGAACAAAACATCTCATGAAATATGTGCCTCAAGAATCTGGCCCCATCCCTATGCGTTGGGACCCTGGGAATTGGCCCTCAGGCCAAACCAAACTCCCTTCTAAGCTTACAGAGAAAGTAGAAGGCTGGTGGTTTCCCCTGCCTTCTGGCCGGCACCCGGGGGCCAGGGATGTGTGCCAGTTCCACAGCCCTGAACATAGAAAGGATTGGGCCTGGCTAGGACTGCCCTCCCACTTCCCTTGAGCCAGCAAATGTGGAAGGTGCATCTGCTTACTGTCTGACCCCAAGTGCTCCCCAGCCTTGGGGGAAAGGGCTGTATTAGGGAAAGGAGACAAAAATAGAAACAGACTGATCCTGAGCTATGCTCAAAATAGCTACAAATCAAAGGAAATTGGGAAGGGCAAGAAGTAGAAGATGTTGGTTTTGGACCACCCACTTACGCTTTTAGGATATTAGGTGCAGGCAAAGCCATCCAGAAATGATGGACAGGGAGGACGGTTTGGCCAGCCTGACTGCAGACACATGACTATTGTCTGGAGCAAAGATTAAGCTGGTATCCTACATTGGCATTGTGCTTTCTGGATCCAGACAAGCAGCTGAGAGCCAGGATGAAGTTTCCATCTCTGCAGCATGACTCAAGTGAAAACTGTAACAGTGAAATCAATGGGAAAGGCACCTTTCTGGGCCTTTTGCATTACTGATGTGTTGTGGAAAGTTTCAGAAAGGTCAGAATTTCTTTGTTGGAACAGTAGCCACTCTGCCTTCCTCCTAGATGTGTAAATAAGTATAAAAGCTTTAATTACCATGACGAAGAAGACCCTAGACAAAGGCAAGCCCACCTTCAGAGTAGACCACCTGCCCTGATGACATGTTCCTATGTTCATGCTCTGCACTGCTGGTTTATAATTGGAAAATCAAACCAGTCACGGACAGAGGAAAGGAACAAGCAGAAACCAAAAACAGTAAGTAGGGAGAAACCTCAGGACTCTGGCATCGCATCCCTCCTCGAGCCCTGTCACCAAATTCACAACCTCTGCTGTCGCGTGCTGATACACAAGTTCCCAGGGCAATGACCGTGAAGTCACAAGGAAAGGCTCCCCTGCTGTCCTCCCGCTGACTCTGCCGTCTGTGACTCCCCCAGTGTCTCCTGTATTTTATATTTATTGATGTCTCCTCAGCAAATTCATTTCTTTGTACCTAATAAACTTTAATAAGTGGAAATGCTCCCAAGATTGTTTCCTAGTACAATTCCATCTGTGATCACCACTATTAATCTAAGCCAAAACTTTTTTAAATCGGAGTGAAAGAATTGTATATATTTATGGGAGATATATATATTCACATTTGAATACTAAGCCAAACCTTTGTAAGGATTAGGAGGGATTCTAAGAATGCCACAGCAAAATGCATATTACAGGGACCCTGTGCTTGCTGTAATAAGTGCTTGTTGGGTTAGAAACCAGGCTTTTCTCTTTTGAACTAATCTCATGAATATTTGGAAAAATCAAGTAAGGTAGAAAAAACTTTTCAGATGCACTTAAAAAACTACATAGCACTTTAAATTTTATTATAAAATGGGCAGAGTGCAATGCTTATAAATTCTGCTAACGTGTTAAAATGCAACAACTTGCTGCTTAAAGTGCCCTTAGTTCCCTTCCCCCAATCCAGCAAACCTCTTAAAAGAAAATCTGTATGAAGCAGAACCATTTCAACCTCCATTAGAGTGTTTTAAATGGATGCCGGAAGCTGATACAGGGGAGTGAGGTGCCATGTGCTGTGTGAGTTTGGAAGGCAAACAAGACTCCAATCTTTGTTTTGTCTCTTCCAACTTCGGGAAAGTAAGTCTGTGCCTCTATTTATTCATCTGCCCAAGGGGAACATGTGTGTCCAAGCCAGCCCGGAAGCCCTGGGTCACATCAGAGCCAGGTAAGGACACACCTCACACCCAGGAGCAACCAGTTTACATATTTCATGCTCAGAAACATCTCTGCTGGCTGCATCCCAGGAGATCCACTTACATATGCTGAGACCTCATTTCACTAGCTCTGCCATTGGGTAACAAAGCAAGAGGGGTAATTAACATTCATAGATGTTCCAGAAATGGACCTCATCTAGAAACTGGCATGAAAGCTAGCTACTACACACTTTGCATCAGAATGAGTTAAGGGGCTGACTTATTTTGCCTGTCCCACACTGGTGGAGGTACAGATAAACTGTGTAATGACTGAAAGAGCAAGTCAAAACGGAAGAAAAGCACCGGCCCAAGATAATCTACAAAGCAGACAATGAATTCAGAGTCATTGACCATCTACCACCGCGGCTGGTGAAGGAGCTGTAACTGTAAGCACCCCTTATGGAGTTAAGCATGGGAGGAGGTAGTTTCCAGAGGAGTGAGGAGAGCAGCTTAACAGGAAGGACTGCAGGTGTCAGGAGCAAGTTCCAAATTCTCAGAACATCCCCCAGGAGGCTTTGGCATCCTTCATGAACCCATCCTTTTATGGGATGTGTTGTGCCCCCCCCATTATACTTAAATTCAAATCTTCAGTACCTCAGGGTGTGACCTTACATGGAAATAAGGTCACTGCAGATATAATTGATTAAAATGAGGTCATTGTGATGTAGAGGGAGCCTTAAATCAGATATGGCTGGTGTCCTTATTAAAGAGGGGAGCAGTTTGGACATAGCCAAACACACAGGGAGAAGGTAGTGTGAAGAGGAAGACAGAATGGGATGATGCCAGAGATTTCCAGCAAAGGAGCAGAAGCTGGGCAAGAAACTTGGAGCAGATTCTCTCTCACAGCCCTTGGAAGAAATCAGCCCCACAGATACCTTAATCTCGGACTGCTTGACCCAAAACTAAAGCCTTTTTCCTGGTTTGTGATAATTGTGTTACGGCAGCACAAGCGATGTAATACACATTCTGTCACCTTGGAACCTTTCCTCGGGGTGTTATGTTTATTAAGAACAAGCTGGGAATAAAGTTTAAAGAATCAGTATTTCCTTATCATGCACATGAAGTCGTCATCCAGCCAGACCTTGATAGGTCCATTCATTACAGGTAACTAAGTCCTGTTTGTCTGAACAAGACAGTCAATTGTGTTATGCCTGTGTAAGAGTGAAGAGAGCTTTATTTTTTTTTTCCATAAGTGGTATCCTTGTGTTGTGGAGTTACTAAGCCTCTAGAATAAACTATCTGATGATCTGGTTTGGATTTTTTGTCTTCTTTAAAAAACTCATGGTAAATACACATAACATAAAACATACCATCTTAACTGTGTAGTGTTCGGCAGCGTTAAGTACATCTACCTTGCTGTGCACCCTTCACCACCATCCATCTCTGCAACTCCTATCATCTCAAAAAAACCAGCTCAGTATCTACCAAATATTCCTTATTTCCTCTCCTCCCAGCCCCTGGCAGCCACTCTTCCACTTGCTGCTTCCTTAATTTTGACTACTCAAGTACTTCATGTAAATATAACGTCCTCCTGTGACCAGTGTAGTTCACTTAGCTGAATGTGCATACAGGTTGTGTAGCATGTGTCAGTTTTCTTCTCTTTTCTAAGATGAGATAATAGCCTTATTATGTAAATAGTAACAATGACCTCAGCACATTTTGTTTGCTCATCCATCCTTCTGTGCGTACTTGCTTCCCCCTGTTAGCTACTGTGAAAAACGCTACTGTGAACCTGGTGGACAAATACTTCTTCCAGACCTTACCTCTGACCTTCTGTGTACATACTAGGAAGGGCATTACTGAGTCATTCAACAGCTCTGTTTTTAGTTTCTTAAGCACTGTTTTCCATAGTGGATGCACCATTTTATGTTCCCACCAGCAGTGCAGAAGGGCTCCAGCTTCTCTGAGTGCTCAACATTTTCTATCTAATAGTCCCTATCCTGATGGATCTGAGTTACTATCTCATTGTAGTTTTGTGTTAATGAAAGAGTGAATTAATTCAGAAAGGTACCTAATACAGGAAATTGCGGAATGATGGAGTTTCCTGAAGTTTCCAGTTAGAAACACATAGCCCCTTTCATTCATCTTCTATGTTGTGGCTGATGCCTACATTTTTCCATGAAACACAAGACAGAAGACATTAATCTCAGTATCTTTTATTGTATGCTCGATGCATTTAGAGACAATGCCAAGGCAAGCACTGGATAGGGACATTATCTGGCTTATAGATGTGTTTGTACAAAAGACTGTTAAGACTACATGGTCAGTTCCCACTGCAGGAAACGGAAAGATTTTATTTTCCCTGGCAGTAGCATTTTCCAGTTAACACATTTAAATTCTCACAGCATGATTGCAAATGTACATATTGGTTCCCACGAGAAATCTGCAGATGACATTTTTGGGGTGTTTGGCATCAGTTAGATACAGCACATTTTGACACACACCATAGAAGGGGAGCGGGGACTCTGGACTGGGTGGAATGAAATGCCACAGCTACAGGAAGCATACTGTTGTGCTGAGACAGCTGGGCATATCACCTGCCATGCCTCCCCTGCAAGTGCAAGTGGCCAGTGAAGTAGGTCCCCTCCCATCTCCTCCCTGTGCTTCCTTCCTGAAGCTGAGAGCTCAGATGAAGACCTTTCCAATAAAGGATGCACAGCTCTCCAAGAAAGAATGCAAGAGGTGTCAGAACTGACACACTGGTCCCACCTGGCTTCCTCGCTGGCCCAGCCAGAGATATGTGTCACCTGTGCCAATGTAGGACATCAGTTAGGATGCAAAGTTATTTGTCTGGTCAATAATTATGCTTTATATCTAAAGATTCACCCAACAGTAAGGGAACTTCATGGCTAAGATCTAATAGGTATACACCTGCCTGCTCTGTTAGCTTGTAAGGTAGACTCCTATTGATAACACTGAGTCTTATGTTACTGAGCTCTAGAATCTCCATAATTTTGATTATATCTTTATTCTACCTACAAGTTCAAGTCACCTCCAAAAATGAAAAGATATTTTTGCTTTGCTAATTTACTTTCACTGGTGTGTCTGCCTTGAGTCTTCACTTATGGTGAATCCCGTTTACCAGACTAGACTAACTAGCTTATGTTAGGTCACGGGGGAGAAGTTGGGGGGGCAACTTTATCCTTTATGGCCATGATTTCTTTCTGCACAAAGCATGCACCGCCCCCCCCATCTTAATAGATACACAGATGATATTCTAGGAAGCTATTTACACACAGTGACCTTTAAACCTTGTCATATTTCAATATTTCATTTTGTATATTCATTTCTTATATTGCCTTCAGAAAAGCAATCCCTTGTGAAGAAATTATCCATGTAATGAGCATTTTTTTCCAAATCATTTTCTGTTAGGAGCACTTAAAAAGAAACAGTCCCCTTATAACAACCCACTCAAAGTCCAACAATGTATTTCCAGCTGTTAATTTAAAGAAGATAAAGGTCACTGAAAGAGTACATCTATATCAGTAGATTCCTCTCTCTCTCTCTCTCTCTCTCTCTCTCTCTCTCTCTCTCTCTGTGTGTGTGTGTGTGTGTGTGTGTGTGCTTGTGTGAGAGTGTGTGTGTGTGTGTGTGTGTGTGTTTCCCTAACCATCCTGATGCACAAAGAACCAGTCCACTGCTATTATTTGGGTTTTGGTTGTACACAGACCACCACCATTGCCTGTCCCGCTTTGCCAGGAAGTGCCACAGAGGATGGTGGTGCCCTCTAGTGGTGAGGCAGTGACCTCACAGCTGTGCTGCTCAGTGCCAGCCAAGACCATTGGCAGGTAGGGTTGGCCCCTCTCTGTGACACTTGATTGAGGTCAGGGCCCCTAACCTAAGTAGTCACTGTGTTCCCCGCTGCACAACTGGGTAATGACATCAAGCTGGCAGCCTTGCCTACAGCCTTCCCCATGATAATGAAAGGAGGCCTCTGTGTAATTTACTCTCTTCTAGACTCCTCATCAAACCTGGAATCACCTTGGCAGTTGCAGATGTGGTGGGGTAGGGAAATGTTTCCTAAGAGGGAGAAGGTGGAACCACGCAGTGAAATACTAGGGTGGCTTTCTTCATAGTCCCATTTTACATAATCCCTCATCAGGTGGCCTTGGGAGGGCATGGGTACCTGTATCATCCTTTCTTCCTGAGCAGCTGCACACTACTCACAACTACAAGGCACCGTGACCAGCAGCCATTAACTTTGTCTGCTAAAATACTCTTCCCATCTCACCACAGGTAGTTGGAAGTTTTACAAACAGAATTCACTAAACAGCTGAGCAAGAGTAGGAAGGAAAGGGTTGTTCCAATAAAACCTCTGATCCTTAGGTTCCACACCCATATGGGAAGGCTGGGAGGCCCCTTTCTGCTGCTGGGAAGGAATTACCCTAAGCCATTTCCAAGACTGCAGATGTCCACAATTTTTTTGCAGATTCCTGTTGAGGATGGTAAAGCATAATTAGGCCCAAATGGCAATCTCCCACTTGGGTGCTCTAGTATCTGTGACCCTGGGCGTTTCGGCAGTGGTTGAGGGTTTCAGTGAAGCTCAGCCCCCACCATGTTCTACCCACTTCAGTGAGCAGCTTAGGGCACAGGGACTAAGGGGGAAGATGCAAGAGCAAGCTGCTTCTTATACCAATTTGTCGGGCCCAACAGGCTGGGCAGGAGGCAGATGGCTGGACTGTTACCAGCACAGAAATGCCTCTGCATCCTTCTGTCACCTAGTTGCCCTCTGCCCTCCCAGACCCCACCTGGTCTTCCCTGCATGTTTTTCTATGCTCTGGTGCAAATATAGCATTGGGAACAAATCAGTTTAAATATAGTCTCTCTGCTGAGATAAAGTAGTCGCTGCCCAGCTTTCAGCCACTTTAACTGCAATCTAAATAGTCAAGAGTTTCTCCTTTTCTCTCCCTCCTTAGCAGAGAGAGCCACAGCTGTGTGAGATGGAAATTCTGCCACAGGGCCATTTAATGGATCCCAGACTAGATGTTAGCAACTAGACCCAGATCGTTTCTACCCAAAGGTGCATCCATAGGGTAAGTGTACTGCCGTGAAGGCACAGCAGGCATGCCCTTTGGGAGAGCCATGGAGGGATTCAAGGAGGTCACCTGCATGGTGTCCTGGGATCTCTAAGACCCAAGGGCTCCAACTAACACAGATGCCCAGACTCCTGCCTGTGGAAACAGGTCTGGAAGCACATAGAAGATAGGTCCTTCAGGATCATGGGACAGAGCTGGGCGCGAGGAGGCCCCTCCTGATTCCTTCCCCCCATCTGTCCCCAGGAGGGTGGAGACTGCACTACACACAGCTATAGGCTCAAGGGAACGGGAGACGTTCTCCCTTGACTCCATACACAGGAGCCTGTGTACAGACAAATGCCTTTTGTTAACCTGGGAGAAACTAGTTCTGAAAGACTAAGACTTCAAAAGAGCTTGCTTTTCCCACCAGCTCAGCACTGTGAGCCTGTCTTTCAAGGCCTAATGAACTCCAGCTCTCCCAGGAGAGGCTAATGTGTCCACTGTCACTGAAATAGAAGATTAGCAGCTTTGAATCCACAATTCATCACACAACCGAACACCAGGCAAAGGGGATACACATTACACGGCAAAGGAAGGGGAACTATGGCAAAGGAGGAGACGTTTAGAGACACAAGGTAACAGTTGGATCTGGCTTCAGAAAAAGAGGCCACATCATAACTTTCTCATTTGACTCAAACAGGAGAGTGGTTTGTTTTGCTGGTAATTTAGTCAGGTGGGAAGTTTTAAATAAGAAGGGGGAAAGGAATGCTTACTTCACTTAAAGAACTTAATCTCCGTGTCGACACAGTCATAGAAAAGGTCCCCCACCTCAGCAGGGTCCGGGGGATCAGGGCTACTCAGGATTTCCTCCATGGCTTCCAGACCTTGCTTCTCCAGCTCCAACATCGTCTTCCTCAGTGTGCGGCCCTGTTCCTGAGGAACGACATGGCCACTTCACGTCAGCCAAACAGTTGTGACAGTGGACACCGACAGCCCCAGGGGTCTCACTGGCTTCCTTACCACAGTCTGGCCCACCTCCTCCAATATGGTCCACACCCTGCCACAGGGACTCAATTTCTAAACTCATCTACTAGTCTTGCCCCTTTTTACTTCCTCTTTAGATAATCCACTGTGCCAAATATAAGAAAGGGTCAGGGATTTAGCTCAGTGGTTCCACCACCTGCCTTGCAAGCACAAGGACCTGAGTTTGATCACCAGTACCAAAAAAAAAAAAAAAAAAAAAAAAAAAAAGAAAGAAAATAGGCTTGTCCAGGCCTCAGAAATATACACACCAATTTGTCTTCAGGGCAAATTGGACCTATTAAAAGTTGGGAGCGTTGGGGATCTAGCTCAGTGATGCCGACACCTGCCTTGCAAGCATGAGGTCCTGAGTTCGATCCCCAGTACCCAAACAAAAAACAAACAAAACCCAGAAGTTGGAAGCACAGATGCATTCTAGCAACTATGTTCCTTCCTCCTCCCAACAGCAAAATACAACCTTAGATTTATATGAAAATTCTTCACTATTGGCTCCTGCAGAAATAGATTAGGTGCTGGGGGAACATACACTGGGTATTTTTCTGGTTTGAATTGTCATCTTTTAACTTTATTAGCCAAAGCTTTGAAGGTGGGAGAAGCACTTGGAAGAATTACTTTAAAAGAAAAAAAATACTGGGAGCTTGAGAATCTTTTTTAAAATTATATTTGTATTATGATAAACATATATACATATGTATATATGTCATAAAATTTTCCATTTTAACCATTTTTTCAATGTAAAGCTCACTGGCATTTAGCACACTTATATTGTCGTGTAGCCATCACCACCATCCATCTTCAGAATGTCTTTGGAGAATTGTTTATTTGAAGCAACATAAGATTGCATCTTTATATAAAACATTACCATTAAGCATACCCTCAAAAGTATACAAAGAATTGCAGGCAGCACATTGAGTATCTCTATTAGAACTGTGCACTTTATTACTCCTAAATCAGCAGTAAGAGATATTCTTGGCCCACTTCGTTCCAGAGTAAGATCAAAAGTAGAGGCTTTGTCTTACTTGGCTGCAGTAGAGTGGGTAGGAGAATTAACACCAGCATTCAGGGAAGTGCCTGGGTAACCTGGCTTTCTGGAAGGAGACTGTTCAAGCTGGAGAAGAAGGAGAGGAGCTTTCTGGCTGCCTCCCTGCCCTCCTTCTCACACAGCTCGCCACCTGCCAAGGGCCCCCATCCAAGCTTACCTGGTCACTTTCAATGACAGCACGTGCCCACTCATGGGCCTTGTACAGCTCATGCCGGCGGTCTGGTTTCTCCTGGAACCGAGGTTCTTTTTTGGCAGGGTCATTGTCCCCAAAACAGGGGGACTGTGCTTTGGGGACAAGTTTTACATCATCAACAAAGATGAAAGGCTTGAATATGGACCTGGAAAGAAAAGAGAGCCGCTTAGAGCAGACTGAGCTCAGAGCCTGAGGACACCCAGAAATTGTCCTTTTACTCAACCAAGAACAACCCGAGCCAGCTTTCAGTGAGGGTGGGTGCTGGGTAGTGTGTGGGTACATGCCAAAACAGACACACTGAGTGTGCTAGTAGTTATTTCCGTAAAACTAACAGCCATTTTCAGCTTTACAATCTTCTATTTATAGCAAGGAGACCTCAAAACAGACTGTCTCAGTTCAGGATGCACCTTCTGAGAGATCCTTCTCAGTTCTACAAAGTCAGGCAAATAGACATGCAGTATTCAGGGAAAGGCTGGAACAGCCCGTCAGTCTGAGGTAAAGAGACCTGACTGCTTCTTTCCTGGATAAGGGTCCTTGGTTTCTGTTTTTGAGGTGCTAGCCTACAAAAATCTTTGTAAATGTCTCTCACAGACTCTAGGATGGGACACATTAAGGCAGACGACATCAAAGGCCCACTCCAAGGAGCCTCATGTAGGACAGAAGTGAGCTGCGGGGTTGACTTTCAGCCCTGAGGGAGGTGGGGCCTGGGGCAGCCAGAGAAACCTCATCCGTGCACCATATAAACATTCTTGTGCGCCTATGACCTGAAAAGGACAGGGAACCAGCCACCCTTGCTGCCTAAGTCAAGTCCTGGACTTGCAGCACTGGCACCACTGCAGAAGCTGAAACAGAATGTGCAGTTTAAAACGATCCCAAGGGACTCATAACACTGTCCACATCTGAGGACACTGTGAAGAACACTGGTAATAAGGAAAAAACCCTAGGCTAGTTTCCTGCAATGACCATGGGAAAGAGGGCTCAAGAGAGGAAAGACATTGGTCACTACATTGGACACCGAAGTCAGACCAACTTAACCTGAACGCAAAGGCGTAGGACCTTCACATCCCAAACTGGTGGAGAGGAAATAGATAAGGACACGTGTCAAGTACTCTGCTGCCCCCTGCAGGTGACTTACATATGTATTATATATGGGAGATGAGTCCCAGTCACTCCCCAGCCCTATCTGCTGGGGAGCACACAGCATGCTGGGCTGTGCCCTTCCAGGGCCCTTCCCTCCCCCATGTTCACCACTGGGCTCTGAGGCTTTTCGGTGGAACTGCTTCCATCTCCACCACAGGCAGCCAAGAGGGTGCAATCTGTGCCAAAGCCTCCTGAGCCTAGGCCGGCGAGGATGCCTCCTGGGATCGGAGTTCCTGGCTTCTTTCATCAACCGAAAGCATGGTGATGTCCACTTGTGAGATGCTACTTCCTGCTGTCCCCACACCCACCTGTGTCCTCCACCACTCAAAAACAGGGCAGCAGGAAGCTCCTCATCAGGACACCTGCACTCCACTCCTGAACGCCCAGTGCTTTATTTCCTGTGTGTCTCTTCTGACACAGTGACTCCAGGAGAGAACCCAGTCAGAGGGTCCAGGAGAGGACGGTCTGGCACCAGAGGGGCAGAGAACCAGGCTGGGGATGGGGCTGGTGCATGAGGCCTCTCTCTGCCTCTGACCCACTGTGGGCCCCGTGCTTCTCCTCTCTGGCTTTTATCTGGACTAACATGATCTCTCTGGTCCCTTCTAGGGTCTAAAACTATTTTGCTATTTCTATGTCACATGTTTGTCACGTGACCTGTGTCCCCACAGCCCCACAATAAGCTCATGCCACCTACAGTCAGTCTTCTGCATTTAACATGGAAGAAATTGCAGTGCTCTATTGGATGCAACTTAAAATCCACTCCACATCACTGGAATATGAACATAAGTTTAATTAATGAAGATGGTGCTTTTCTAAGGTAATAAATGCTATATGTTTATCGCTTCTATCAATTTTATTTTTTTAAATAAATAAATACAAGCAGGTACCCATAATATTTAAAGCAGCCAACGTGTTCTAAGGATTTTTTTTTTTTTCAAAGTCTGTAAGGAAGTCAGCTGCCAAAAAGATGAAGTTATGGTCGTTAAAGAGGGATTTTCGGGACGGAGGTTTGGCTTAGTGGTTCTACAGCCTGCCTTGCAAGCACAGGGCCCAAGTTAGAACCCCGGTACTGGAAAAAAAAGGGATTTTCTGAGACAGAGTAAATAATATAAATAATAAAATTATATAAAGACAATTACTATTTCAGAATAGTCAATAAGAACTACTGCTGATAATAAGTTGTAATAAAAGGAGTATTTACTTCAGATTCAGGAATTACATATCATTCAGGTTTGACCATTTGTCACATCCCCATAACGGGACTGTGGGTGACTCAGTGACTCTCAAATGTTCTGATTTCTTGTCAATCCTCACTAAAAATTCCAACTAGGTAAAGAGGTACACTGGCATTTTCCCACACTTGGATGGCAGCTTCTTCAATGCTATTGAATAAATATATGCCAAATAATGATGCAGAGAGACTGAATGATTTGGTTAAGGTCATATATTCAACGAGTGTCAAAGTTGAAACTAGGTCGTGACCACTTTCCCACCACCCGTCCAGGACAAGGCTCAGTTGGCCATGTACATGGAGACCCAGGGTCCTGTGGATGACTTAGGGAACACAGACTCGTGAGAGGTCTCCAGACAGCTCGTGGTGCTTCCGTCCCCAGGGCTGACTCTGAGAATGACCTTCAGAAAAATCATTTAACTCAAAACTGGTCCTGGCCACTCAGCCCGTCCATGATGTGGTATGACATGAACATAAAATGTTAGGCCGGAAGGGGGAAGTGCTTCCAATGGCCACAGGCAGGCAGCACATGGCTGGTTAGCAAGGAGTTTAAAGCTAGCTGAGCTACTTTAAAGAGACCCCCATGAAGGACAATTAGGCCAACAAGACCATGTGCATTATACAGAGAGTCATCAGGTCCCAGGCACACAGCTCCTGACACAAAGCACATCAGAGCCCTCAAGGGTCTCTCTCGGAGCCACAGAATTTTATCCCTTGAGCGGCACTTTGAGGCATAGCCAGGAAGGCACACCACTGGAGGTATCTGGCCTATCTGTCCTTCTTCCTTCCAAAACCTTGTGATGGGTTTACCAAACTATGAAAAAAAAATCTGTTTTCCCATCATTTGTTTTCTCATTTTGGAAGAAAAGCAAAAATATCATGAAAACCTCTAACATTTTCTATCATAGCCCACTTTGCATTTGGGTCTTGTGGCTTTAGTCAGTCATTCACATATTCCTTCAGTAGCTATGTGTTGAGCTCTGACCAAGTGCTAGGCACTGTTCCAGGTACTATGGACACAGCGCTCAGCACAGTGTCCTGTTTTATAGATAACTGAGGCTCACAGAAGCTCTGTGCTTTATCCAGAGTCACATTCCTCATAACTGGCAGGTGGAGAACTAAATGCAGATCTTCTGAGATCAAACCACGGCCTCCCATTCTTAGACCCTTCCATCGCTGTCTTATACACATTGTGACACTACAAAAATCATCATCATAATGACTTTTTGTGCTCTGGGACTTGGGATTTTATTTTGAGTGGCCACCAACAGTTTTGACCTCAGGCCAGGGCTGTTCTTGCCAGAGAGGTGGACATTCCCCAAGCAATTAAACCAGGCTGTTGTTGTGACCTGAGAATCTACTGAAGGACATTAGGTACAGAAAGGAACAAGACAAAAGCCCCTGCTCTGATGCATCTGCTAAACTGTGAACCAATCTTCAAGGAACCTAGAATAACCAGTTTGTCACAGAATGCAGGTGGCCCTCTGAGCAATCCATCTTCAGGGTCACTGCAGCTTTACTGCCACAATATGCCACTTTCATCACATCATCAAAGCCTCAGCTGACTGAGAGTGGCACCAATCCATGAAGAGATTTCAATTTTAGAGGGAAAGAGAACTAATGCGTCTGGAGTACAGGACAACTTAAAGATGCTATACTTGACCCAGGTCCTTGGAGGATTTAATAAGTCAAAAGTGTAACATGGACAGAGAGGGGACACAGTGCTGGAAGAATTCGGAGTGCAGCTGGAAGGGAGAATGAATGCCTTTTTGCCCTTTACAGCTCCAAAGGCTGCAGAAGTTATGGTGTCTGGCCTCAGGACATATTCTCGAGCAACAAAAAGGTACCACATGTGGCTGCCACTAAAGTAGGTCAAACATCCCACTTTCCTAGAACTATCTCCCCGCTTGTATATTACCGTCCCGTATCTTGAGTATTTGTGCGCTTTCCTATATGCAATGATCTCTTAGTGCTTAGCTATTCTAAAATATCTATCTCTGAAAAAAACAACCCAGTCTGCAGAATTCTGTGGTGTAAATACTTCCTCTGTGGCCTATTTTAAGCTACCGATGGCATCAGGGAACACAGAATTGGGCAGAGATTCATACAATCGGCTCTGCTTGGCCCTAGTACACTCAAAGACTCTGTTCCTACCTCAGTTCCTCATATCAATGAAGCTTTAACAAGTTGCAGCTTCCTAGGAAATGGCTTGCAAAAGTCAGAACCAGTGTACCAAAGCCAATTAGTGTCGCTCTATGAATGACTTCAGTCCAGCTGACTCGATAGAATATTGGTACAGTGGAATCTGCCTTCCCCATAAAATTAATGAGAAGACTTGCACATCCCCTGCTATCACTCACATGGTACCTGGCACACGGTAGAATGGAGGGAGGGAAGAAGGCAGGGAGAAAGTGAATGTGAGAGAAGGTCTTTTCAAGAAAATGATCTATAATTAATGCAGTGAGCAATGAACAGAGAAGTAAGTGCCCAAGTAGACAGGACAATACCAAAACGGTATCCTTTGGTTCTATCACTGACTGGAAGAAATAAATACTGTATTATGGTCCTGCTCTTCGATCTAGTCATTTGCAAGCCCACTACTCTGAGACTATCTAAAAATTTCTAATATTCTTAGCACTCACAGAAGCCAACTAAGATCTCTCTAGTTGTGCTACCTAAAAAACCTTAAGAGTAGGTACTTATGCTTCCTGCTGACAAAATACAAAATGTTGGACATGCCCAATTACAGAGAAACACCGAAATGGTGACTAGAACAAAAAATAACCTATGACAGTTCTATACAGTCAGAGTGGGAGACACAGCCCATTTAACCAGGGAAGGTAAAAATGAATGTCTTCCGGAGGGGACTTAATCTTCTACAAGGTCTTTTCAATTAGTTTAACCATGAATAATTTTTTTAATTACTTGAAAGTTTCCATTTTAAATATTAGAAGGCTATTTTGTGACCCATTTCTATAAGTGGATTAAGCCATGTACTTCAGCCTGAGAAATGAAATTCCCTTACATTCATGTCCTGGCATCACAAAGCCTGTCTCCTAAGGAGAGTGAGAGCAGCTATGTGAGGCAGCAGGACAGGGGGGGGTGCTTCAGCCCAAGCCCCTCCTTGAAAGGCTCCGGCTTCCTAAAAAACAATGTCCAAATACCTTATCTGAACATCCCAGGTACTTCAGAATAAACACCCATGTATACCCCGCAAAAGGCTAGCAGGGTCCTCACAAGAGGCTGCTGGGCTGTCGGCACTAGGCGAGCAACCTAGGGCCCTATCTGTCAGGAGAGGAGCCCAGACCCCAGGGAGCAGAGGAGCCCCAAATCTGTAGACCAAAATGTGTGTGGAAGGTGGGACCATGGAAGCGGCAGTTCAGAATGGGGAGATGAATTAAAAACCAGGAGCTGGATTCAAAGAGGAGCATCCAGAGAGGGCGTGGGAACACTGAACTGCTGAATGGCCGCAGCTCCATATTAAAGGGCCGCGGGGGAACCCATGAGTGTGGCTGGGCTTCTTTAATGGACAGGCAGGGGGCAAAAGAGATGGAAACTTAATTGCCAGCCTTGTCCACAAAAGGAAGCGCACCTGTAACCTGTGCCGTCTATAACCTGTGCCGTGCTCTTCATGCTCCTGGGCCATTACATATGCCAGTCTCTCTGCTCTGCTTTTTATACCTAATAAACTCCCATTCTTCCCACAATGTGTCCCTGGCATTCCTCAGGGAGTTCCTTCCTCAGTGAAGCTCTCCCTTTCACCATGTCATCTGTGGGACTACTCTCCTTGTTCACACCTCATCCCTGATACTCAAGAAGCAAATCTGGTATGCAGTGGGTGCTTAAAAAGTGCTTATCGAATGAGTGAATGAAAAATGAAGAATAGTTTATACTAAGTCCAATAGTCAGACCTGAGGGCTAGGTGAGCTAATGATATTAGCAGTAGTTTTAAATGAGGCCATAGGGCCAGAAGAAATGCTTGACTCTTCCCCTGAATCATTTAAAATAGGGAGGTGAGGGAAAGAGAGGGAAGGGGAGAGGGAGAAAACGGAGAGGAAAGAAGAAAGTCCTCCTAGCGAGACACATCCTTGTCTCGTGTTCCTGAAATAATAACAGGAGAAAGAATATTTTCAGCTGCAAAAGGAAAGGATTTTAGCAGCAGCGGATATTTTGGTAGCAGATTCAAAAGCTTGACTGATATTAAGCAACGATTACAGATTTGCCCAGTGGAGCACCGGAAGTGCTCCAGGGAACCCACGGAATAGGCAGTCGTGCAGAGCTTTTCATGTTGAACCTTAGAGTTCGGGGTCCACCCTGACGATTCTGACACAGCGGCTTTGGGTGTTTTTCCAAGACTCCCCCCTACAATAATTCCAATAGTGAACAAATTTAGAAAGCACTGAATGGTTGGTTCTAGGCTACTAATGATGCGACCTGTGACATACATGACATTACTGAAGAGAAGCTGCTCTCGGACTAGTAATCAGAGATGGCCTAATAAATAACAGTTAGACCTACTAGGTACACACTTGGGTTATCTCACTTGATCCTCCCAACAAGCGTATAAAACTAAGGGCTAGTTACAGAAAGTAGCCACTGCACAGTTACAGTAACTGAAGTTTAGGTTAAGTAACTTCAACAGCTAAGGGGTGACTGGGATGGACTGCAAATCCTGTTCATTCATTTTAGAGACTCTGTTCCTAACAACTGTGCAATGATCCGTGTTTGCTGAAGTATGAGTATGCAGAAAACAACTCCTTAAAACACAATGTCTCCAAGAATACTTAAAGTTGCCTCAACCTGTAATTCCTTTGGGCCATTTTGTTCAGTGACTTATAGGAACAATTTTCTGATAAATCTGGGCATCTCTGTATCTCTCACTGTATTTTGTTCATCTTTGTATCCCACATCTAAAGCACAATGCTTGGGCCATAGTATGTGTATTCTCAACAACTATTTGATGAAATTAAAAATAACAATTTCATTTGGTGATTGTAATAAATACTATGTGACTACAGCCACTTCACACAATCAGACTGGATAGAGCTACAGCACTTCAGCTAATCACACTCTTTGCGCTGTACTGCCCGTGCTGAGATGGACTAAAAAAATGTGATTTCGCTATCAAAGGAAAGGGCATGGCCAGGAACTTAGTTCATGCTTGTTGAGTGAATTTTTAAGGTGGTGCACAGTTTCTGATTCCATGACTGTGTGTCAGACAAACCTGGAAGGATCTGGAGTCCCCGTGAAGTAGTGAATGCATGGAGAGCTTCTATTCTGAGGCAGGACGGACACTATACTGGCTGTGGTGAGGAAGGATTCAGAGTCTATGCAGATTCCATTGGCTTTGTCCCTTAAGATGTTAATCATCGTCTGCACGGTGATATTTTCTGAAAGAGGAGAGATGGAAAGAAGATATGTAACTGTGGCAGGCTAACCCAAACCTATCCACTTCTTTCTCTTTTTACTAATAAACCACTGGCAGTTACAGCTAAAAGCATAATTTCTCATCTGCAGAATATATTTCCCAGCTTCCCTTGTGCCTTGTTCTGGTCATGTAGTAAGTTCTGACCGATGGGAAGTGAGCAGAAATGCAGGGTGCAAATTCCTGGCCACACCTACATCCTAACCCTTCATTTTTCTTTTCCCCTATCCTGCTATCAGGAGACCAAAAATGGAAGACTTGTGCTGAACAGAGTGTCCCCTCCCCATATCTTATTTGTCAGGAAAGCAGGGTCACTCTCCTATAGTATTATGCACAGTCTGGACTCTGCAGATGGTGTTCTCTTTGTGTGGTTCTGTATGTTCTTCCATCTTATTTCCTGTAAATTTGTAGCTAGATTCAAAAGCTTCATCAGATTTCAGGCTGAGAGTTTGGAAAGACTATCTAATAACCTTTATCAAGCTAGTTTTTTTAATTAAAAACTTTTATCTTTTTTTAAGTTCCCATTTAAAAATGAATACCATCTTACCTTCCCATCCAGAATATATTACTGAAGTTCTACAGAATCAAGCTAGTTTTAATTAAAAACTTTTATCTTTTTTTAAGTTCCCATTTAAAAATGAATACCATCTTACCTTCCCATCCAGAATATATTACTGAAGTTCTACAGCAAAAGTTCTAACAAATTCTTCTAGATTAAGGGCTGGGAAGCTTTTTCTTAAAGAACCAGATAGGAAATATTTTAGGTTTATGGGCCATGTTGTTTCTATTATAACTTGCCTGTTGTAACCGCTCAACTCTGCCACAATAGCACAAGGCAGGCATAAACAATACATAAATAAAAGAGGATTCTATAGTTTGGATTCTGAATGTTCCCAAAGGCTTGCGTGTTAAAGGCTTAGTCACCAGCCTGTTGCTCTCCTGGGAGGTGGTAGAGCCTTTAGGAAGTGGGGCCTAGTGGAAGGAATTTAGGTCACTGGGGGCATGCCCTTAAAGGATATATGGGGACAGCAAGGCTCTCTCTTTCCTCTTCTCCCCTCCTCTCACCTGTCTTTCCTCTCTGTCACTAGTTGAGCAGTTTCCTTTCCACTTGTTCCTGGCCTCACCAGACCCAATAGCAATGAGCCAACTGACTACGGACTGAAACCTCTGAAATCATGAGCCAGAATAAACCTTTCTTCCTTATAAGTTGCTTATGTCAGGTATTTTGTCATAGTGACACAAAGCTGACTAACAATGTGGCTGTTTTCCAATTGAACTGTATTTACCAAGCAGGCAGCTGCTATAGGACATACTTTGCTGACACCTGTTCTAAATGGTCAAAAGTTTGACTTACTAAATATATGTTCAACTAAAGAATGCAAGAGTTTTTTGAAGAGTTTCTACTCAGGTACAAAAGTAACAAGCCATCTATCTAGCTAACACATTTACCTAAATATGGATTCTGATTTTAAGTCAGTAACTGGGTGGCAGATAGAATGTTTGTGAAGAGAATTAACCACAACAATTCAACTCAACAAACATTCAAGGAACAAAGGACCATGCCGGATCACAAACGGAACCTCAGATGAACAAAAGATAACACACCTGCCGCTATGGCCCAGCAAAATTAATGAGAATGGGCAAGAAAAAAATAGAGGAAGAAACTAAGTCAAATATATCAATACTGAACTCAGAGGATGGCTACGATAAATACCACAAAACACAACATTGATGACTTAAGGGGAAATGGTGTCAGTAGGAACAAAAAAATGGAAAGGTTCTTTGAAAGACCTACTGAACTACTAAGACAGAAGCCTGTCAGAGACTCCCCCATGGGAATGCTGTGTAGCATGCACAGGCCCCTTGTTCCCCCACCTTGATTTGTTTACCCCTGGAAGAACACTTTATACCATTCTCCGCCCAAATATACATGATTTTCTAAAAAATACAAATCATTTGCTTCTTCATATGCCCTCCGAAGTTCAGACCAGTTTTCTGGAATTGCCATAAGACAACAGGTATAAAAAGGAAAATCATAAGGGTCAAACTCACCTTCTTCATTCTCTAAGCTCTCTACGCCTGCACAGCAGTCCAGATGGTCATCAGCCGGAGAAAACACATGGGAAAAATTGAACTCGTCCTCTCCTGTCCACCAGCCTTGGCTCTGAGCATAAGTTCTGAGTTCAGGATGCTCTGCATCCATCTTAGTGGTGAGTGAAAGTTGATTGCAAATGCACTTCACTCCCTCTGTAGAGAGTGCAAAGCCCAGTTAGTGGAAAATCTATTTATGCAAACTTATATAGAATCCTTCCCCTGAAATGCTGACTTTACCAAGAGGAATCAATTCAGGTTTTGAAGAAAGAAACACAATACTTGGTCCTTTTTCCAAAAGACCTCTTAAAAAGTTTGAACAGGCTGGGTGTGGTGGCACACGCCTGTAATCGCAGTGTTCGGAGGCTGAGGCAGGAGAATCCCTGTGAGTTTGAGGCCTGCCTGGCCTACATAGTGAGTTCCAGGTCAGTCTGAACTACATAGTGAGACCCTGTCTCAAAAAAAGCAACAACAAAAAAGTTTCAACAGTCTTGACCTGATGTCTTCACATTTTAAATGAGCAACAATTTTACTGATAATGGTTTCACAATCAAAAGGAGATATGGGATGCTTTTCATTCTACCTAGATAAACCCCAAGTAGGCAACATTTTTTTTAAAAAAAGAGGAAAGGGCTGGGGATTTGGCTCAAGGGTTCTGCCACCTGCCTCGCAAGCACAAGGACCCAAGTTTGATCCCTGATACCAAAATAAAATAAAATGGAAAGGTTCTTTGAAAGACCTACTGAACTAATAAGACAGAAGCCTGTCAGAGACTCCCCCATGGGAATGCTCTGTAGCATGTACAGGCCCCTTGTTCCCCCACCTTGATTTGTTTACCCCTGGAAGAACACGTTATACCATTCTCCGCCCAAATATACATGATTTTCTAAAAAATACAAATCATTTGCTTCTTCATCCAGCTTTTTTTCCACTTCTTCTTTTTTTGTGGGGCGGTACCAGTGATTGAACTCAGGACCTTGCATCTGCAAGGCAGAGGCATTGCCACTGAGCTAAATCCCCAGCCCCTTGCACTTCTCAATATTTAAAAAAACATAGTGGCAATAAGAATGAATCACTTGAGGGCTGGGGATTTAGCTCAGTGGTTCGGTGGCTTGCCTTGCAAGCACAAGGACCCGAGTTCAATCCCCAGTACCGGGAAAAAAAAAAAAAAAAGAATGAATCACTTGAAAGTAATGGACTGTACTTGCAAATGTATGTGCCTGGGTGTATCCATGTTTGTGTGTGAACAATATATGAGAATTTTTTTCTCATAAAAACAGAAGCATAGGCTAAAGAGACCTAAAATCAGAAATGTCTGCATTCTGGGTATGCTCTGCTTTGGTGATAAAGTTAGGACAGAAATGCTCATCAGCTGGCAGGCTGCTATGTGTTCTATAAAACATGAGCTCAGATATAGAGGATGACTAGAACTTTAAACTTCAAGATGCTGTCCAGAATGAAAACAGCATCCTAGCAGTGCTAGCTCAAAAAGGCCATCCATAGCTGCTGCTCCAAGAGAGTATGTGGAGAGCTTCCAGGTTCTTGGAGAATAAAGTGAGGAGAAACACAGCTCAAACTAACAGGTTGCAATAATGCCATTCCTGCCAGAAACCCTAAAGGAAAGGTCAGTGTTGGACTGAGTTCTCCCAGAATGTTTTGCTCTGATTTACACTTCTAAAGTAAGTACTTCTGGCTGATAGGATCCTTTGCTGTTCATTTTTTCAGAGGGCACTACAAAATTAAAATTATAAACAATTAAAAAATAAAAGAGTGGTTTGGGCCTAAGCAAGTGATTTTTGACATCATGCATACTAAGCTAAAAAAGAAAAGAAAAGCTCATGTAAACAACTCCACAGATGTCATTTTCCTAAAGCATTGATTTATAGTAGACATTTGCTTTCAAGAACCAGCATTTGGAGGATAGAGTGCATTAAACTCTACTGCCATCAATCACATGGGCTACTGGGATCACAGGACATGAAATCAATGAAATGGTTGGGGTTTTTATTTAAATGCTTAGTGAAAGATAACATTCATTTTTGTGGAGATGGATTTTTTAAGCTATTATGGTGAAGGGAAGCTCAGCTTCTGAAAGGCAGTTATAGATCAAAAAGTCTCAGATTCTACTTAAAAGCAATCTGAGTGCTTTGAAGCATGGCCCACAGGCCTCCTTGATAAAGCCTTTCAGCAGTAAGACTTCATCTTCGGAGGGCATTGTATAAAGGAGTTTTAAGTTGCTGCACTGCAAGGGAGATAGACCTACCAGGCCATCCTGGCTGCCTCTGTTCTATACACACCACAAGGCAAGGCTCTGCTAGATGTACATGGGGCAGACAAGGGTGGGAAATTCCCTGTGGCTGCTCATTTTGCACCCTCATGAGAATGAAAAGAAACCACTCCTCCTCCAAGCAGACAGCCTTAACACAGATTGACCAGGAAACCAGACTATATTTCTCTGCCTCGGTGAGGCAACTTTTTATATAGGGTTTGATGGCTACAAACTGGGCTTTGTGCACAGGCAACAGGCTTGACTCCCACAAAATGCACCAGATCTGCTTCAAACTCAGGTCCGATCTGGTTCCAACACCCATAAGGCAGGGAGAACTTGACCAGGAAACCAGACTATATTTCTCTGCCTCGGTGAGGCAACTTTTTATATAGGGTTTAATGTAGCCATCAAACCCTGATCACTGGGCTTTGTGCACAGGCAACAGGCTTGACTCCCACGAAATGCACCAGATCTGCTTCAAACTCAGGTCCGATCTGGTTCCAACACCCATAAGGCAGGGAGAGCAAACAAGTTTCACTCTTTTGATTAACAGGAAGGGATTGCATAGTAAAACATAGGCCAAGTATAAGCTCAACACGAGAAGAATGCAGTGATCTACTAGCCATGTCTGCCACAGGCACTGGATAGGGAAAGGTAGCACACATGTCCTGTATATATCATCCTGTCCCAAGGAATATAAGAGGAATGTCACAGGCTAGTTCTCTCTTACACTTGTTTAGTCCTCTTTGAGGCCACTTTCCCATTCTTGGATCCCACTCCATCCAGAATATAAAGTTGCTGAGACCAACATGCCCAGCTCCAACATCTCCTTCCCAGTGCTGTCTTTGAAGCAAGATGCTGCACAGGCCACATAACAGGAATTCTATGGGCACTAAATCCTGGGAGGATCACCAAGTTCTCTGCTTTTCTAGAAACATTATCTCACAGAGAAATGGCCTGGTTGGCTCAGTGAGGCATTCAACAGTGCTCACACAGATTCAAACTCCTATTCCACAGCAAAATTCCAAGCACAAGGATTCCATCACAGGGCTGGAGGGTGACAAGAGCCAACTCCCTCTTGAAGAGACTCATAATTGTATGAATGAAGATCTACCACTTCCTTGACCAACTAACAGAGTAATTAATGGTTTGGATCATGGAGCTGCTAGTGACCAAAACTGAGTCCTCCCCAAGAAGCAAGCAGAAAATATGACATGAAATGTTAACTGCAACTTTCCCTACGTCACCATTCCTTCACTCTGAATTTGGAGACTTCCAGCTCACCATGTGGACAGAGATGTCCACAAGTAAGAGATATGCTTGAGCATGGAGAGCCAATACAGACAGGGTCAGCCATCAGCATAAGTCTGGTCTGGTGCCATGTGTGCAGCCAAATTTCAACCTTGCAACTGCACTCAAAACTCCTCGATCTTTACACACACTCACCCGTGATTTTCTCAGCAGCCCAGTACTTCCCTACGGTCTCAAGCACCCAGGCTTCTTCACGATCCACAATCAGGTACGCACTTTGGAAGCTATGGCAAGAGTTGGCATCTTCATAGTAATTCCCCCCTTGTCCATGTTCTTCCAACAAGGAGACAATGACATCTAAGGCTTCTTTAGCTGTTGTTCCTCTTTCTAAACCAAGCCTGCAGTAAAGAAAAGTGCACCTCAGTCATTTCATACCACTTGATTATTACCATAGCAACCAAAGACTGGGCCAAGGCTGAGCCCTGAATCCTACCAACAAGTATAAGCACGCTGAATATGCAGACTAATTTGAAAACTGATGAGCATTACTTTAACTGAGAATACTTCTCCCGTGTATTCAGTTACCAATCATGGGGATACTTAACATGTTTGGAAATCAGCTTTCTAGGAAGAAAGAAGAATGGGGAACCACTGGTTTCTTTCTTTAGAAAGAAAGGTCAGCCCCTTCTTTCTCTGCTGGCTCTGTTTCCTAAGGGGCTGACCAGCCCTGCTCTAGCTCTCAGCGAGACACCTTTACTGGGGCACATGTCCCTTCCCAAATGCAGCCTAAACAGAAGGAAATCTCTGCCCAGTCTTGATCTCCACTATACGACAGCAGGTATTTTAGTTTCTGCTATGGCCTGTTTGTGCCCACTGAAAATTCATGTGTTTGTATTCTGACACTCAATATGATGGTATTAGGAAGTGGGGCCTTTGGGAGGTGATTAAATCATGAGGGTCATTCCCTCACGAATGGGATTAGTGCCCTTATGAATGAAGCCTCAGAGACCTGCCTTGCTCTATCCACCATCTGGGGACACAGCAAGAAGGCACCAGCCATGAATCAGAAAATGGTCCCACGGTAGACACCACATGCTGGCACCTTGATCTTCAACTTCCCAGAACTATAAGCAATTTATTTCTTCCCTTTACAAGCCATCCTTTTTATGGTGTTTTGTTAAGGCATCCTGAACAGACTAAGACAATTAGTAATAAGTAGTAATTAAAAGAACATAAATGCCTTCTGAAGTGAGACATCCATCTTCCCTGGCCCTTCCAATTACTAAAGTCTTTAAGAAGGGTACAGATCACTGCCCTTTAAGTGAAATGGGGCAGGTTACATAATATATTTGAACTTCGGTTTTATGCCACCTTACAGTAAGTGCCTGTCTCATTGAGCTGCTATGAAAATGGGTTTTATGAGACAATGAACACGAGACTATGCAGCACTCGTGCTTAGAATCGAGGAAGTGTGGTAAGGATATTTCAGGAGGAAGAACATTGTGGCAATCAAATACATGATTTGAGATAAAGAGACACAGTTTCTAGCTCTGGTTCTGCCATTCACTGGCTGTACAATCTTAAGTAATGTGATCTTCCAACTTTTTATTTCCTTATTGATAAAGTGAAATGATATTACTTCCCTCTCAGGCTGATATGAAAAACGATGGCACATGATATGTACTCAGTTCATTTACTCATCTATTCATTCAAATTATAATTCTGCTGGCAAAAGCTAAAGTCTTAAAAACAAGGATGGACATGAGTAGAGCTGCTGAGATGGTGGGATAAGCCTCTTCCTGGTAAATTTTTCAACAGTGTAATACTTCCAGCTTCCACTGTGTTGCCATAGAGAAGAAAAGCTAATGCATCTACAACCCACAGATTTAGTCTTGTAATATACTTATTATTTTAATCAGATCCCTATGTACAAATCCATTTGACATTTCTCATTTTTAGCTTATTAAGGAAAACTTGGTTACAACGCTGGGATTTACAAAGCTGGATCCTAAGGACTTAGGAGAGTGATAAAAAAATAAACCAGATTCTTTTGTGCCCCATGAGCATGCTAACTGGGTTTCCACACTGCTGTCTGAGATATGCCTCCTTCAAATCTTGCTACAATGTTGGTACATTACCCATCTGCATGAAAAAAAGCAATGAATCCATTGAAAAATCAAGTTAAGTAGACTTTTCCCTTGGCAATGTCATCTTCTCCAAAGAGGAGTAGCAAAAGCAAGTGTTCATACTATCTTGAGGATAAGGACCAGACAAGTATGCTGTGAGACATCTCATCACCCAGAGCTGTGCACTCTGCAGGGACCCTGGTCACAAGGCCTCATAAACACATCCCAGGCAGACTCCTGCCCCAGGGCCTGCGCACAGCACCAGGTGACCCATACGAACACATGCTTGGAACCCATGTTGGCCTTTTCCAACAGCCCCATCTTTGCAGGTTGAGATTTCTCTTTTGTAGTTTCCAATTTTCTCTCTCCTGATGTTCTGCCTGCTTATGTTCCACTGAGACCCCTATTACACTTGGCCTCCACCCTGATCTGGATGTCCTCCAGGCAAAGAAGGACCTCAACACCCACCTAGAGGCATAATTCTGACTGAAGGGTAAAAGATACTCCTTTCACCAACATGACCGACCCTGACTGATCTGAGTAATAAGGAAGCCCCTCCTGTTTTAACTCTTAGGAAAAAGTAACCTGAAGTAACCTAAGGGTAACCAATTGATTTCTTTTTCTATTGTTCTGTTCCATTTTTTTTCCACTTTATAAAATCCACTATTCCGCTATTACCTGGTGGGAAGTCTTATTCTATTTTGTAGAATTAAGCTATGATTCATGCATCACTCATAAATGCCAACTCAACCTCCTAAAACTAAATGTATGGTCACTTTGACTTTTGATAGGGTGAAGTGTGTAGGAAGCCTTTTGATTCACCTGCATCTCTCAGAGACTGGAGCTTCCCATCTCATTAAGAGAAGTAAAGTGCAATTTAATATGGAGTGTTGCCTCCCCACCCCGGGTCAGCAGGCCTGGTATATCCCTGACTCACCACCTTCTTACCCTGGACCTTTGGCAAGGCTTTTAATCTCCCAAAGCTCCAGATTCCTTGTCCACCAAATGTAGATAAGCACGTCTACTTCATTAGGTTGGTATGAGAGTTAAATGAAATAACACCTGCAAAGCACATCTTCCTAGAACTTTAGGAAAATCCTAACTGTACATGGATCCTTCCCACCTACAGACATTCACCAGGCCACCTTTCCAACCTCCTGTGAGTTCTCACATTCACTAACAACCAAAAGACAAACTGCAGACTTTCCAAATTTTCACACTGGCTTCTTTTAAAGGACTGCTGTGTTTTTTAATGTGATGAGGGGATAACAAGACGTGTTCAGAATTATAAGATGTTCTGAAATGCTGAGATTGACTGGGTTCTGGTGCTAACATTAAACACAAATGAGAACAGCAAAAATGGGTCTGCAGGGTTGAGGATTTAGCTCATTGGTGCCATGCCTGCCTCAAAAATGCAAGGTCCTGAGTTCAATCCATGGTACCAAACAAAACAACAACAACAACGAAAATGGGTCTGCAGAAGAAGAAACAAATAAAGCAGTTATGCAAAAGAAAGAAGAAACAGAGCTTACTGAAAGAGTGTGGTGATCTGCTGACCTGGTGGCAGGTTGGGAGCAGAGGCTTACATTTCAGGGATTGTGAGCCAGTTGCTATGCCAATGGTAACTTGAAATCTGTCATGGTGGGAGGATTTACACCACAGGAATTGAAAAAGGCCACAAATCAGGGCTGCCCCCCCCACACACACTGAGCTGATTTTTAGACATTTCCAACATACCACTGACCAGTGAGTCCCAAAGTTCTTGGTCCTCACAAGTATGGAGCACATACTACCATGACAAACAGATTTTGAATTGTAAGAGACACTTGACATGGAGAAAATAAACTTCCATCTTTTCATCGGCTCCTGCCGGTAACTTGATCCTTGACACCAGCCTCATGAAAGATGTGAAATTGTCTGTATGTGTTCATGTGCCCCCTTTTTCTCAGCAATAAATAAATAAATAAATAAATAATAAATAAAGGACTAGTTGTTAGAGTCTCACAGAGACCTGCGGATCAAAAGCAACAAAACAAAACAAAAACAAGAAACAAGTAAAACTTGGCTTTTACCATCAATGTCACTGGAAATGAATTTTAAAAACAGTATTGCCTGAGGCTTGCATTCTCCCAAGCCTCTAAGAAGCACACAGTTTATACCTTGGTTTTTAAGGTCAGTGCCTATTGAAAGGCCACTGTCATGCATTGATGTCTCTTTGAACTGCAATTGGATTTGGCACGTGGCTGGAAAGCACAGAGGACTGGGGTACCTTATGGGGGAAATGCTGTGTTCTCTTAATCATAAACCACAGTCCAGAACAGAACTGAAATAGACTGTAAAATGTAACTAGCCTACTCTCACAGGAGGTGTCCAGGAAAGAAGGATGTCCTATCAGGACAAGCAAGGGCAGAGAAAGTAGAAGTACATCCAACAGCAATACCTGGGGAGATGCTGAGCCCAAAATTGTGAGAATATAACCAACCCATAGCAAGTTCCTCTTGCAACAATGGTTTTTGGCCTGTTTTGTGTGTCATTCACCTCGGGAGGGCCGGTTAAAACAGGCTGCCAGATTCAGTAAGGGTGGAGTAGGGCCTGAGAATCTGCATTTCCTATGGGCTCCCACACCACACTTGTTGGCTGTCACAACCACTACTCTAAAACCTAGCTCCTCAAATGTTTGTAGAGCTTCCTGGAAATTAATACAGGAGGATTTCTGGCTCAGGAGTCACCTATAGGACTTGGTTGATATAAAACAGACTCTTATATTCTGATGAGGCTTGGGTGAACTAATTACAGCTGGTTTAAAGCTGAAACCAGACATCGAACACCAAGATCCACTAAAGGTACAGATAACTGCACCCCACCTCAGTGATGAATCCTCCTCACACCCTTTTTGCTAGCAAGGGACAGAGATGAACTTAAATAACTAATGTTCAGCTCTCACCCTGTTATCTCCTCTAGACATCTGTTATTATTCCAGACTTTGCTAAATATCACAACACCAATTATGTGCCAAATTCTCTGTCTGCATCCTTCAAGTCAAACACACCTCCCCACAGCATCCCAAATGTGCCTAGTCTGTGGCAGACTCTAAACATCCAGTAGTGTTCATGGAGGGCCATAGTCTGGAACTCTCTATATCATTCATGTGACATCACATCTCCTCTGAGTCTCCTCTTTCCTACTATCATCTCTTAAATGGCCCACAAAATCTGCACTGATCACTTTTCTGTCTTTTCCCTAAAATCAGACTAAAATGTCTTCAAAGTTTTGAGCTGCTTCACATGCCACAGAGTCTGGCAAAGAGTAGATATCCATGAAAATCCTATTGTTTTTTGAAAAGATAAGCTGAGGGTTGGGAGAACAAAAGCATTTTCTTCCATCATCCTTTAGAAGTTAACTGTTAAAATGGTGATTTTTGTAATTCTGTAAGTCCCAGACTACAAATATAATGACTCAGAATACAGATTATAAATGAGGAATTTTAAAGTCATATTACTAATTCTTCATTTTCAGGATTTCCATTAAGTACAAAGTTAAAAAACATACTGGAAGATCAATCAAAATATCGATTCAAAACTTGTTGTTATTCTTATATTTTATTGTTACTTAAGAGAAAACTGGGTGTAAATAAGAGGCTTTTTCTGCCTTTTCCCAGTTCAGGAATACTGCACTGAGTATATAAGAACCAATAATAACAAGGAAGACATAAAAGCAATAGGCTACCTAACTGAAGTTCCTACCAGAACCAAGTGTTGAGTGGCAGGAGTGACTGCACGGCTTCTATCTAAATGTGCAATGTCCCCCTACAAAACCATTGTTAAACCTTCTGTTCCTTTTCAAGGAAGTTCACCTTGGAAGGGTGCTCAGAAGTAATCCAATTAAGCCTCACATTGAAAAAAGAAGGGAAATCGGCCCAGAGAAGGGACTTGATTTGGTGTACCCACCCTAAAAGCCAAGACCTCAGCTCAGCCTGATCTTTATTCAGCTATGTTAGGATTCCATTTTATCGTTTCAATTTTTTTAAAGTCATTTCAGAAGGTTGTTTTGTTCTACTCCACCCTCTACATTAGTCCTTCACTCAAAATTCAGTTATTCATCACCTATTACACACCAGGCACACAGTTCCCAGGGCTTGGGGCATCAAGGTAAACAAACAGATGAAGATCCCTGCTTTATCCAACTTCTACATCCTGCTCTTTCTGGCTCATAGTGTCTGGGAGGGGAAGAACAGGAGGAAAAGACAACTGAGATGCAGCAAGAGAAGAAAGTGATCTCTACTCTTTTATCCATTTTACATATTTGTATACATCTTTTACATACTTCAAATAACATAAAGTTTACCTATTTAAACTATACAGTTCAGTGAGTTTTAGTCTATTCACAAAATTGTGCAACCATCACCATAATTTGAATTTAGAATATTTCAGCACCCCAAAAAGAAACCCCATACCCATTAGGAATCACTGTTCATTCCCTCATCCCCACCCCAATTCCAGGAACCATTAATTTACTTTCTGCCTCTATGGATTCATGTCTTCTGTATATTGCATACAATGTGTGACTTTTGAGTCTAGTTTCTTTCACTTAACATATTTTCAAGCTCATCATGTTGTAGCACATGACAGTATTTTTTTACTGCTGAGTAATATTCCATTGTAATCTATTCTTTTTTCCCATCATCTCAAAGTTTCCATCAAAAGGTACCCATCATCTTTAGGAGAACTATGTTACAAAATATGAAGTTTAGGAGGAAATAAATCTTGTACCCATTTTCAACATATTCTGGGTAGTTATTTTTTAAAAATCACCACATAGTACCTGACCAGATCCATCCCCAGTAAGGCTTCTGTCTCAGCGGCTGGTTCTCTGGCATTGATGGCTTCATTGGCTATGCACACTCCGTGCTCATTAGCTCCCATTTCTGCTCCCCACAGCCAGGCGGGTCTGCTCATCACTATGGCATGAGTCCTCGGAACTTGGTCGATTGAAATATAAGTGCACTAAAAAGTGAAGACAGGGAAGAAAGCACCATGATCTGTCAAGTGCCACTTAAGAATCCACACAGGACCACCACACAGAGTTACAGAGGCAAAAAAAAAAATAAAAGACCTTGGGAATATACAGCTTTAAAAGGCACTCAAAATCTTAATGCAGCCCAAAAGTTTCCATGGTGAGTTTCAGTCCCTCTGATTCCAGCTAACCTATTCGAGTACTTCCGTATATGTGATCCCTTTGAATCAGGTATTCAGCCCATGACTGCTCAGTACACTTTGTGGCTGGTCATCTCCATAGTCACAGACTCCCACCAGCGTTTCAAAGGAACACAACTGTTTATTCTCATTTGCAAAACTCCTGCTAGATCAGTGGTTTTCAAACTCTTTTGAAGTTACAGAGCTCTTGATTCAAAAGAAACTTTACCCAGAAGCCTGACATAGAAAGAAGATAAAAAGAGAGGATGCTTTGTCTAAAGAAGAGGGGTCCCCTGAGCACCTGCAATGATCCCCAGGGCTTCCCGTAACCTATGTGATTGCAGTAGTGGTAGACAATGGGAAATGATGATAATATTGAAACTAAATTACAGTATAAACTCTCTTATGCATGGCGCTTTCCTGTCTGTCCCATTTGGATTTTCACTCTAATACAGCAAGGGAGGCACATAAGGAAACTGTCCCAAGAAAGTGTATTTCTAACTGCTATGGCAACTGCAGTACAATTTACTTAGGTATGTATGTCTTAACTACTTGGGCTGCTGTGTCTTTACCTGGAAAAGGAGGGAGCTACTTTAGAATAAACTATTTCTTCAAGTATTTTTAACCTCAGAACACTTCTTTCATACAAACTCTTACATAAAAGAATAAACAATAAAACTGGTCAGTGAGTTGGGGCAAAAGGAGGCAGAGGTTAAGGACTATGGCAGAGATAACCACTTCGATCCTGGCCTGCTTGTCCTTTTCTTCTCCCTCTCTACATGGTGGCCCAGGGGACTGGGCAGGAGATCTTGGTGACCCTGGAACCTTCCTGACTCTCACATCCGATGAGTATGTGGCACACACTTTTTGATTTTTGCTTTTGTTTTTCAGTACTAGGGATTGAACCCAAGGCCTTTGCACTAAGCTATGTTTCCAGACCTTTCTATTTTGAAAGTGAGACTTGCTAAGTTGCTAAATTACTCAGGCTGTGTTCAGATTTGGAATCTGACTGCCTCCGTCTCCTGGGTAGCTGCTATTAGCAATGTGTGCCATGCACCTTTTTAAAAACTTCAATACAGCTTTCTCAACTGAATACAGCCCAGAAAGTTACTCTGCATTGATTTCCTATAGTTTCTAAACCTCAGCCAAGAACTGAAATGCCATGTAGCAGAGGTATTTGTTGGTCAGGTGATATCTTTATCTGCACAATTTACATCAGATGTTGTTTTGTTTTTTGTTTTTTGTTTTCTTTGTTTTGTTTTTCTGGGGGTTTGTTTGTTTGTTTGTTTGTTTGAGACAGGGTCTCACTATGTAGTTGAGACTGACCTGGAATTAATATGTAGCCCAGGCTTGTCTCGAACTCACAGCAATACTCCTGCCTCAGCCTCCTGAGTGCTGGGATTACAGGTGTGTGCCACCATGCCTGGCCCGTCATCAGGTGTTGCTTAGATGGGTACTGTGATACCACTTAATATACACAGCAAACTGTAAGCTATTTAAGACTGGAGGCTGCCAAGGAACTCTTGAGGGTTTTTTTGAGGCAAGTTGATAGTAAAACATACTACTGAAGTGTTTTCCCCTATTCACTTGCCAAAAATTGTTTATTTTTTAAAATGATTCTTGTAGGAGGACTTCCCAGCCAATGCAGGGAGCTAGGCTGCTTTCCCACATCCCAGCACCCCATCCTGCACGGGTGTCCCTACAGCATTCCCCTACCACCACCTGTGCTCTTGGGCCTCCTGGTTGTGCCAGTACCTGGATCCACACTGCAGAGGCACAGGTGTCATAAAGGCCATTGCACTGAGCTCCAGAAGATAGAACAGAGGTGAACAACAGCAGTAAAGGCACATTAGACCTCCATAGTTGGTAAATTGAAGGGATCACCACCTCCCATCAGAACCTGGACAACTTCAAGGGAAGGACAGCTACAACCTGCCATAGAACCTTGCAGAGTTTAATCCTGCAGGAGGTCAAGGAGCTCAGCTTGGGCCTTGCAGCCAGAATTCAGCCTGAATCTCAGGGGTCTGCCACTGGCTTATTGAGACTAATTGACTTAGTTCTTAACATTGCTGCCCACATTGTCTATCATGACAGCAGAGACAGACCCTGAAGAAGGCCCTTTAAATATTTTTTCTTTCTTTTCCTCTTATTTTTAATTTCAATTTTTCAATTTTTATTTTTTCCCACTCTTCAAATTCTTCCTTTTTTCTTTCTTCTTTTCCCCACTCAGTCTCTTGCTCCTCCACATTGTTCTTCATCTCCCTTTTTGTTCCTGTTTCTGGCCTAATTCAGATTTCTTCTTTCTCTTTTCTTCTTTCTCCTCTCGATTGTCATTACTTTCAGAGAAAAGTGAGTACAATTTATAGCTTCCCTATTACTGTTAAGTTGTTCTATTCTTGTCTTTGTTCTTGCACTCTGTCTTTCCCTCTTGTCTTCAACAGTTTCCTAGAGTTTGCATGATCATCCTGCATCCTCTGACTTCACTTGAAACCTTCTCCTATCCTTCTACCTACCTATATATTCCTCTCCTCCCAACTCCTTCTAAGTCCCCATCCTGAAGGGTAAAGATGCTATATTGAAAGAGTTTATTCACTATAAACATATTTTAGGCTGCTCCTTGATTTTGATTTAATTCACATGGTTAAAGGTGATAGACAAATAACTACCACAAATTGTCATTTTCTAAGCTGTGCTTGATGCTATTGTGTTGTTGGTTATATCAATTAGGCTAAAGGGTTGTGATTGATTTAATCAGTTGTCCTTCCTGATATTATGAAAATGAGAGTGTGACTGAGTCATTAGAGACTCAAAACCTAACGAGCAGCTATATCAGGAAGATTGAAGTACAACCCAGGAATTAAACCAAGGACAGTGCCAACAACAAAGATAAAAATGAGAAAACACTTAAGCAAGGCACAAATACAGACTTCCAACTCATCAATGGTAAATTCTAGAGGAAACGAGGTGGAAAAGTCTGACAATCAACCTCCAGGGCACCCTGAACTCATATAACACAAGAAGTAACAAGACAGATTAATCAGACTCTAGAAAAATTCAAAACAGAAATAATTTCCCAGACAACCACAGAAATAGTAAGCACAATGAAAAACATGATTAGCAACTCTAGAATAGAAACAGATTTTTAAAATATAGATGAGTCAGGACTATGATAGAAGCCATGAATGCCTAGCATAGGAAAAAAATGGGAACCATTTCCTATGTTGAATGTCCAACATAGGAAAGAAATGGAATCCATGAAACAGATTCAAACATATCTAGGAGATTAAAAACTCAGAAAGCATTCACAGCAGAATGAATGAATGTGACAATAGAATTTCAGAAACAGAAGATAGGATTGCAGTCAGTGACCATGAAAAGAGAGATCCCTTAAAAATAGGGGTCATGAGAAATTGATCCAACAACTCCTAGATCATGCAAAGAAGAATAATATAAAACTGATAGGAATCCATGAAGGAGCAGGAGAAAGTACAAATGACATAAAAAAACTGTTTACAGAATTAATGACAGATAACTTCCCAAACAGAGCAGAAGAATTTGACATACAGATAAGTGAGGCATATAGGACTCCAACTAGCCATAATTTAAAAAAATCTACACCTAGACATATAATAGTCAAGATCCCAGAAACCCAACAAAAGAAAAAAATACTGCAAGCAGTTAGAGAAAAGAAATAAATAACACAAAAGGAAAGCCCATCAGACTCACAGACTTTCCAACACAAACCCTCAGGTCAAGGAGAGCCTGGAGTGGGGTGTTTCAAGCCCTAAAAGAAAACAACCTCCAACCTAGACTGATGTACCCTGCAAAACTCTCTTTTAAAATGTATGGGGAAATAAGATACTTCCATCACAAAGAGCACCTGAGAAACTTCATGAATACCAAACCAGCACTACAAACAATTCTAAACAATATCCTAGAAAAAGACAATGAAGGTCACAACACCATGAGGCCCAACAGAGCAAACCAATTAGGCAAGGCAAGAAACTAAAGGGAGAGGGGTAAAAATTAAAAAGAGCCAACAACAGCACAATAACATGACAATAGTAAGTCAATACATATTAGTTATAATTATCAATATCAATTGCCTAAATTCACCAATCAAAAGAAACAGACTGGCAAAATGGATTAAGAAGCAAAATCCAACAATCTAGTTCAAAAAGAAACTTAGAGAGTGAAAGTAAAAGGATGGAAAACAGTTCTCCATGCAACAGGAGCCCAGAAAAAAGCAGGGGTAGCTATCTTATTCACAGACAAAGTAAATTTCAAACCAAAACTAATTAAGAGAGACAAAGAAGGTCACTACATCCTTGTAAAGGGAACAATCCAAGAGGAAGAGATGACAATCATAAATATATATTCACCCAATACTAAATACCCCCAACTATACAAAGCAAATATTAAGGGACATGAAAAACTAAATAAGCACTAATACAATTATAGTGGGAGACATCAATACCCCACTGTCACAAAGAGACATATCATCTAGACAAAAAAATCAACAACCAAATACTAGAATTCAACCAAGATTTGAACAAATGGTCTTAATAGACATCTACAGAGTGTTCTACCCCACAAAATCAGAATATATATTATTTTTGGCTGTACATGGGTCGTTCTCCAAAATAGACCACATACTAGCTCATAGAACATGTTTTAAAAATGCAAATGAATTGAAGTTATCCCATGCATATCATCAGACCATAGTGCAATTAAGCTGGATAACAGTAGCATAAGAAACCACAAGAATTTCACAAACACATGGAAACTGAGCAACATTCCTGAACAATCAA